TGAGTCACCCGCTGCTGCACTAAGCAGAATATCAAGGGAAAATTATTTCCCCCCTTCCCCTCTAGTTCTTCACGGCTCTCTGAGTACCGCCGTCTCTCAGCTTCGCTCAGGCGAGGTCATATCTTCAGAAGGCTTCATATCTTAGCTTGGTCCGTTTGTAGCGCTGACGGATGCAGCGGGAGCTGCTCCGGCTGCCTTTGCGCTGAAGCGGATGAGCGCGCACGCAGTCCCTCTGCAGACGATGCTGTGCCTGCACGCGAGGACGGTGTCGTACGGCATTTCAGCTCTGCCCCAGCTCTTTGTTGATACCCCAGGGATTTCAGATGGGTATTCCCTGAAGAATTTGGCTGTATTCGTTCAGACTAAAGTGTTAGTTTTGAATATAATTTCAGGGTATGCTCTGAGTAACTACCTGGAGAGTGCAGGGGATGCAGGTAAAGCTTGCTGTGCTAAAACTTCTCTATCGCTAGCCAAAGCTATGAGCATTGCCAAGCAAAGGGGTGCATCTCTGGTTTTCGTGGAGGAGGAATGATCTCTAAGGGGATCTAACAGATTTTTTTTCCTGGGAATATCACCGTGACTTTAGGAAATATTAGGGTGGTAAGGGGGAATAAATTAAATTAAAACCGTTAGGGGATCTAACGGATCAGGCTGCTGCGAGCACCAAATCAGTCCTGTCCTTTCCGCGCCCTGCTGCCGTTGTGCACAGTCAGTCTCTAAGGCTGCAGACACTTTAATTGCCTCTTTCTGCCGGAGTAATTTAAAGTCCAGCTTTCTTAGACAGCGGGGAAACCCCAGCATTTTGGGTGAGGAAACGTGGAAAGCAGAGGAGGGATCTTCTCCAAAGCCTGGCTGGCTGGGTGCTGCTAGCCGTGCACCCCGCTTGCTGCCTGCTCCAGTGTAAAAACCATCGAGAAGCGCTTTGAATCGGCTGCAGTTTATGTGTATATTTAGCAACCCGTGACGGCTCCCTCCACACAGCATCTAGAGTAAGCTGCTGTCATCTTATAACTTCGCCTTTTTTCAGCTCGTGTGAATTCAAGCGCTTGAAGGCAGCACAGGAAGCCCTCGTGGTAAGCTGTGGGTAGGGAGCGTCTGCAGGGGGAAGGCAGCGCGGCCTGGCTGGAAAGGCAAGCAAAAAACTCGGCAATCGGAAGAGGGGCAGCGATCCTCCTCTGCTGCACCCATCAAATATTGCTTTAGAAACTCCTTTTTCTGTAGAGTCGGTGACGAGCTGCCTCTTTGCAGAGCTGCGACCGTTCCTGACGCTGCTGGAGGTTTATGGCCTCTTCGCCACGTGTCGCCTCTGCCCTGTGGCTGGGGGTTTTCGTCACTCTGCTAATGAAACCGAAATCTTGTTTACAGACTGTTTTGCAAACAGGGAACCAGCATTACTTTCTTTTGCTGGGGGTGAGGGGGGGGAAGCCTGACTTCAGACATCCATTTCAGACCTCGTTTGTGTTCCGCTTGCACGCTGATCTGTCTGGTGGAGCCTGATTAGCGGCAAATGATGGCAGGGAGTATAATTTAGAGGGCATTCGTGTCGGTGATGAGCAGGCTGGAAATGGTCACATGCAGTTACGCCTTCTCCTTGAACTGTGCTGCAATCCTCATTATCCTGTGTTCCCTTCTGCTGAAGTGCAGGAGGGGACCATATCTCCTTCTTTCCAGCTCAGGACATCCCCAGGGAGACTCCCGCACCCATTCTCATGTTGCCGAAGGGCAGCGCGCCCGCTCCGCGCCGTCCGAGAAGGCACTACGAGGAGAGCTGTAGCAGAGAAAAAGTCCCTGGTTGAAGGCATGACAGGACTTGTTGCGTGAAATTGCATTTGCTGGTGGTGCGCTCGATTTTTCTAGGAATATCACCAGGACTTTAGAAAATATTCGGGTGGTAATGGGGAATAAATTGGAATTGGGGATTTTGGGCAAGCTCTAGAAGAGTGGTAGGGTTTCAGTATCAAATTATTTCAGCATACAGGGAAAAGAAAGATTTGCAGCGCTGCAAAGAGCGCAGGCTTGCGGTGGGAAGAACAGCCACGGCTTGATGTGAATATTTTTGCCAAATCTCTCTTTAGGATTTCAGAACCTGCTTATAACCCTCCCAGATAAAATTCTAGCAAGAATGAGGGGAATGTAGGCTCTACGCACATGCGCTAAAAGTATGAAGAGATGAAAGGAATGAGAAAGGACTTAAGAGTGCAAGAAGGTACTTCCCACAGCTTTAAATAACGTGGACTGAAGGGTGTCTAAATATTACCTAGCACTAAGCTCACACCAGAAGGTTAGAGCAGGCTGCGCGTGCTCATGTGAGCCAAGCTCACGGTCTTTACTGAACAAGAAATGTCTGTGCAAATATCACAAGGTTACTATGGACTTAAAAATAAAAATAAAATCACAAACAGGGAGTTAAAACTGAACCGAATATTGGTTTTGGGAATGATTTTTTTTTTTTTCTTTCTTTCTAAAAAGACAGGACCATTTTTCTTGCCCTTTGATCAGGAGCTGAACCTGAACAACTCCAGTCACTGATGAGCCTGAACCAGAACTGAGCTATTTCCTGGCTCGCCTTCCTGTTTGCATGTAATCTAATTTTTAACCCAGGTCGCAGAATAGAGTTTTAAAGTTCATATAGTCAAGATGCATGTGATAAGTAAGCCTTTGACTAGGGAAACCTTTCTGGTCCTTTCAGAGGTTAGGAATAAGTCTAGCTGGTAAATAATTTTCGTATCCTGAAGTTGACTATTAGGTGTCTGAATTCTCCGGTGAAGCTTTTAACAGAGCAAGTGACTAATCAAAGTAATCGCTGATCTGAAAGTGATGTTGGTCGTGTTCTGGTTATAACCAATTTTTCCTTGCAGCTTTCCAAAATGAGATGTACGCCTATTTCAGGGTTGAAAAAAGACTTTGAAGAGCCTGACCTAGAGGGCTTCGTCTCTTTGAATTGGGTGAAAAGCACCGGTAACCTTTGTGGTGCGACGAAAAGGCGTTTCTTGAAAATAATTTCTCTGGTCTCTGAGCTGTTCCTGTTGAAAGGCAGAGATGAATGTTGGCACAACAGCCCCCGTGCGTTTGTGGCAACATGAATCGTAGCCAGATATTACAAATGCTGTGTATTTATTACTAGGTAACTTGGGTAATACTCCTCCTGCGACCGGCCACGCTCAAGGAGACTTAATCTGCTGTCTGCTAGAGCTGCCACATTTTGCTTTTCATTTGGAGGATGACGGGGGAGTTCAATCAGAAAAGCAACTGCTTCCAGGGAAGTTGGAAGTTCATTCATTGCGTTTGCTGTACCGATATACTGTGCAAAATAAGGGCAGATGTGTCTGTCACGGAGCATACTTCAGTGGTTGAATGAAATTAGTTAGTAAGTGTGAGAACCAAACAAAACCCTTTCCGGCTCATTATTGTTAACGTTCGATATCTGTGCCTGTCTGGATAATAAATATAATAGGTCACTTGACTAATAAGCTGTTTAATAAGCTCTGGTGAGACCCCCCCTGCAGTGCTGCGTCCAGCTCTGGAGCCCTCAGCATAGGAAAGACACGGACCTGTTGGAGCGGGTCCAGAGGAGGGTCACGAAAATGATCAGGGGGATGGAACACCTCTGCTATGGAGAAAGGCTGAGAGAGTTGGGGTTGTTCAGCCTGGAGAAGAGAAGGCTCCGGGGAGACCTTCTTGCAGCCTGTCAGTACTTAAAGGGGGCTTATAAGAAAGATGGGGACAGACTTTT